GAAAGAAGAATCATCTGATAAGGAACCTGATTTCGATTTTCGAACTAGTGATGTTGAAGAATTACTTCAGTATGAGCGGGAACAACTTTCGAAGAAGAATCTGGAAACCTCAGTCGTTCAATTTATAAGAAATCGTGAGCTCGGCTTGAAAAAACCCCGCACAATTTCGTTGAATAGATTTCTCAAAACTCGAAAATTTTGGGCGAACTCAGTTAAAAAATGTAATGCAAGTTTTTGTTTTGAATGTATATATGCGGAAGATCCTAATCACACTAAAGTAAAATGTTTCGGAAATAGACTTTGTGAACATCTTGAATTATGTAAAGGTATAGACAAATTCGAAGAAGATGTGCATGAGAATATGCTACGACATGACTTGGAAACGTTGAAGGTAAAAATATTTTTGCTAATGTGTAATAAATTTAAAACATTTACAATTATGTTTAATTTCAGAGTTTACGAGAGTACATGAATAGTCGACGAGAGGGACAGGAGCGGAAGTCCCTCAGCCCGACACATCGCCCCTAGTCTTCCAGGAGCGGCTTCACCCCCCCCCGCACCACCAAATTATTTTTATTATTATTTTATTATTATATTTTATTTTATTATAATCTTAATTTAAGCACATACACACACACACACACACACACAACACACAATTGTATAAAATACACACATTTTTAATAAAATTTATACTTTATATTTTGATGTAAAAAAAAATCTAATTATTTACACGCCTCTCCATGCGTTCCCATCCTTGCAACTCTCTTGCGTCTCTTTCGCGCTAGTTTTAAGTATCGCTATCTCTATCATACTCGTTAGTTGTAAGTCTCGCGATATTATCGTTCTCTCTTGCACGCGCACTAATTGTAAGTCTCGCGATATTATCGTTCTCTCTCTTGTACACGTCGTCTTGGCACTATCGTTCTCTCTTTCATATGCGTTCTCTCTCACTCGCGTTGTTCTTGCGCTATTGTTCTCTCTCGCACGCGTTGTTATTCTCGATATTATCGCTCTCTCTCTCTCTTTCGCTTAGAATATACTCGTTGTTCACTTACCTTTGCGTCGTCCTTCTCCCACCTATACGTCGTCCTTGTCCCACGTTAACGCCATCCTTGTCGCACTCGTAGCACTGTCCTCTTCACACACTTTGCACTGTCCTTTTCCCATACATAGCGCTGTCCTTCTCACACCATCGGTTGCACCGCGGATCCCCCTTCACCTCGCGGACCCCCTCGTCCATCGCTCGCGCTGCGGATCCCCGTTCACCGCGCGGACCCCCTCGCCCATTGCTCGCGCTGCGGATCCCCCTTCACCTCGCGGTCCCCCTCGTCCATCGGTCGCGCCGCGGATCCCCCTTCACCTCGCGGACCCCCTCGTCCATCGCTCGCGCCGCGGATCCCCCTTCCCCGCGCGTGACGTCACTCCCCCGCACCGCGGTTCCCCTCGCGCCTCACCCCCCCTGAGAGGACCTGAGTCAGAACCCGCCTAGTCTCACTACTGTCGTCAAATGCTTTCTAAGTGGAATAAAACAAAAGACAATGACAATGTTAAATTTAAAAGCCCAATGCAATGGTATCAACCAGATAGAAAAGAAGATTGTTATTTCTGTAACATCGAAATTATTGGAATTACTAGTAAAACGATAAAAAAAGTAAAATACGCTGATGTAATATCTGTAAAAAGACCTATTGAAAAATCGATGAACAATGAAGAGCTCGATTTTCTTGAGAGGTTATCAATTGAATCGGATAACAACGATGAACAACATGATGACGAAGTCAGTGATGGCAATGATGTGGATGAAATTGATAAAAATGCGTTAGAAGATGAATCCTATGAAAGTGACACTGATGAGGGAACTGAAGATGACGATGATGATGATATTTACCTTCCAGCGGGCCAAAAAGACAAATGCGTAAAGTTATGGACACAAGATAGACTAAACGACCTAGTTAGAGAGCTTAACTTACTTAAAGATGGAGCAGAACATTTAGCTTGATCTTTATTAGGTATGAATCAGTTGGCGAAAGGTACTAAAGTATCTTTTTACAGAACGAGAAGCAAAAGTTTCGAACCATATTTTGAAGAAATAAATCATGAGGATGATAAAATGGTGTATTGTAAAGACGTGAAAGGTCTAATGGACGAAATTAAGCCTAATGTATATAAGGACGAAGAATGGAAATTGTTCATAGATTCGTCAAACAGAAGTTTAAAAGCTGTATTACTACACAATACCAACTATTATGCCTCGGTTCCTATAGCGCACTCCACTACAATGAAGGAAGCATACGATAATTTCAAGATTATATTACAAAAAATTCAGTACGACAAGCATAAATGGCTTATATGTGGTGATTTGAAAGTTTCTGGAATGTTGTTAGGACAGCAGTCTGGATTTACCAAGACACCATGTTTCTTGTGCTTATGGGACAGTAGAGATCGTGCAAAGCACTATACGAATCATAAATGGCCTAAAAGAAAATCTCTCAAAGTAGGAGAGAACAACGTTAAAAATGCTCCAATGATTGACCCGAAAAAAGTTCTAATTCCGCCACATTCCATTACACGTAAAACTTGGTGTAATGAAACAATTTGTTAAGGTTTTAGATAAAGATGGCCGGTGCTTTAAATACTTGGAAAGAAAATTTCGAGAAAAATCTGATGCGAAATTAAAGGAAGGTATTTTCGATGGTCCACAAATTCGAGAAATGATGGCTGATGACCAATTTATTACTACTATGAACAAAATTGAAAAAGGTGCATGGCTTAGCTTTAAGGAAGTTGCTGAAAACTTTTTGGGTAATCGCAGAAGCCAAAATTACAAAGTAATTGTATCTAAAATGGTAGAGAACTTTGGTAAAATGGGTTGCCTAATGAGTTATAAATTACATTTCCTACACAATCATTTAGATGCTTTTCCTGAAAACTGTGGAGATTATAGTGAAGAACAGGGAGAACGTTTTCATCAAGATATCCAAGTAATGGAGAAGCGTTATCAAGGTAGATGGGATATTAGCATGGTGGCAGACTACTGCTGGATGTTGAAGAGAGATTGTAAAACAACTGGGAAAAAACGTAAAAGGAAACCCTTGCACCGTTCATTTGATGACAAACGTGTAAGATATAGTAGGAAAAAATGAATGGTATGAAGTTCAAAATACTCATTAAACCTTGGAAAACTGTAGAAAAGAATCGTATTGCTAGGGTTTTCTTTACTCTATCTTACAATAACTCTGCTTTTACCTTCCTTTGACCTTGAAATGACCTTGAGCCTGACCTGATTGGGTCAAACCGACCCCGGATTTAGATACAGTGACCCCAAAAACATAAGTATACACTGTTCAAATTTGGTTGCCGTTAATTTTGCAGATTTGACCTTGAAATGACCTTGAGCCTGACCTGATGGGGTCAAACCGACCCCGGATTTGGATTCAGCGACCTCAAAAACATAAGTATACACTGTTCAAATTTGGTTGTCGTTAATTTTGCAGATTTGACCTTGAAATGACCTTGAGCCTGACCTGATGGGGTCAAACCGACCCCGGATTTGGATTCAGCGACCCCAAAAACATAAAGTGTATATGGTGGGGTCCGTGGGTTTTGAACTTTTTTTTTTTGTGTGCCTGTGTATGAATCGTACAAAATAATTACATCAAGTAGAGTAATAATGACAAAACTATATTAAATAATCCAATGAAAATTAAATTAGTGACATTAATTATAATAATAATATGATAGAAAAAAGGATTAAAATAATCTTAACTCACCTAATTTTTAATGATCTTACCTACTAGGAGAATAATTAATATTCTTCCTTCCTTCTAGATCTGTCAGAAGTATCACTCGAAATTCAAGAATCCCGTAGTGTGAATTTTCTAATGGATAATGGATTTTAAAATTCGGCAGTAAAGAGTGGTTCTCAATAAAATTTCTCGTAGAACTTTCCAATTAATTATACGTTTATATTGTATGGAATAGAAGTGTGTAATACAATCAAAGTAGTTACAATCAAGTCAGTGAATAATGCAGTAAACAATCAGCGAAAATCAGAATACGTCTTGACTGTAAGCCGGAGATAGAACTTCTGGTCCTCCGTGACAATGCCGGTAGACGCTGGTTCTTCTTAGTACGATTTGATGGGGGATTAGATAATGCAAATTTCGTCATCTTCTTTGTCCGTTGGAATATCGGTCGGCCAGAGCTTGGTATGCGGATGTTATGTTTAGCTGAGCAGCGAGAGCAAGTCGCCGTGTGAAATATATGTATAAACAAATCCTCTTAATAATATTACAATTCTATTACAGACTTAGTATCTTTTTCCAAATTTGGCTATATACAATTTTGATTTTTGCTTCTTATTAGCTAATTTAGATATTACTTAAGTGGAATATTTAATTAATCGAAAATTTACAAATGATGTCAACGAGGGAATGACGATCACTAAAGGCCCTTGCACAATGCTAGGCAACAGGAAATAGGAATAGAGAACAGAAATAAGGAATAAGAAATTATGACTTCCGGTACACAATGACGCATTAGCGACAAAAATCAACCAATCAGAATTTTCGATTTTTGTTGGTTGTTTCCTAGTATTTATCTGATCCAAGTAAACATAACTCAAAAATAACATATTTGTAATTCTCTTGTATTTTGAATTTTTGCTACGAATTAAATATTAATATGTTTTATGGCATTAGTTGAACAAAGTAAGTTAAATATAAAATATATAAATATATTGTATATTGTAAATAATTTTATTAGTATAAGATTTGCATTAACATCATTATATTTTCATTAACACCCTTTTTAGATTATTTACTATGGATAACGAAAACAATATTATTTTTCTGTGCAATGCAAGTAGCTAATCTAGCATTGTACACTGTAGGAAAGCGGAAAGATTCAAGCGCTGGAGAAAAAAGCGATGGTGAGTTCGTCCCATTAATACTCAACATGCAGAGTATGGTGACTTCGCAACTTTGTTTGCAGAATTAAAAAAAGATGAAGACATGTTTTTCCGATATACAAGAATGGATGTATTTACATTTTACGAATTATTACAATTAATGAGTCCATTCTTGCAAAAAAGGAGTATCAGAACTCCAATATGTCCAGAACAACGTCTCGCAATAACTCTAAGATAAAGATATGCTTTAAAATAATACATTGTATATTTCATGCACGGATTGAGTTTTGAAAGTTCATCAAATTAATTTTGTTGCAGATATTTAACAACAGGAGATGCTATCTGTGGCTTTAGCATACAGAGTAGGAGAGTCTACTGCTCATATGATTGTCAAGGAAACATGCTCTATTATAACTAATGTTTTAATGCCAATTTACGTGAAACATCCCACAAAAGAGGAAGGGACAAAAATCAGCAATGATTTTTTAGAATTATGGAATTTGCCAAATTGTGTTGGAGCAATCGATGGTAAATACATAATTATCCAGGCACCTCCAAACTCTGGCTCAATGTATTTTAATTATAAAAAAACTTTTAGTATTGTGTTGATGGCTGCTTGTGATGCTCAATACAAGTTTACACTGTTTGATGTTGATGCATATGGCAGTGAAAGTGATGGCGGAATTTTCTCTAGATCAGACTTCGGATAATTTCTATACGCCGGTACGTTCAACATATTTAGAGGAACTGCTCATCTACCAGGAAGTGATAAGAAAGTATCGTATTACTTCGTTGGGGATGAAGCATTTCAAATGTCTACACACATAATGCGACCTTATCCGGGGAGATTTTTAAATGAGCAAAAGAGGATTTTTAATTATCGATTATCCCGAGCCAGAAGGACAATTGAAAATACGTTTGGAATTTTTGCAGCCAGATGGAGGATATTTCGAAGAGCGATATATTCTAATCCAGATATTGCTACCCAGTTAGTGCTAGCAGCAATGTGCTTGCATAATTTTTTAAAAAATAAAAATGACGAGAAAGCCCCGTTGCAGCAAAGATATTGTCATCCCCAATTTGCAGATAGAGAAACGGAAGGACATTTAATAGAAGGAGAGTGGAGACAAGAATCACAAGATGACCACATAAGACCTGTAGGAAATGTAGGAGCACATCGAAGTACTAGAGAAGCATATGCGATGCGCGATACTCTCTCGTTATACTTTATGACAGCAGCTGGAGAAGTTCCTTGGCAATACGAACGAGTACATACGTCGAAGGCAACATCACGATGTAACTTAAAATTTGCAATTACTATATATTGTTTTCTATACACTTTTACATATGTAATATCTAATTATACTATATTCTGTGGTAAGAAAAATATTGTAAATACACTTTTGTATGCAAGAAATAAAAATGTTTTTTTATTCGAAATTAAATAAACTTCTATTTTTGATAAACTACATATACATAAAATTAATTAGAAACCAAGAACCGATAAACTCATATTTCTGATAAACTACATGTATATAAAATTAATTGAAAACAAAATAAACTTATATTTCTATAAACTAATGTAAATAAAATAAATATTTTCTCATACTAAATATAATAAAATTAAGCTTGAAATTACATATAATAATGAATAAAATATACTATATAATTTTAAATAACGCAATTAAAGTTACAAGAATAAAGTAAAAATGTAGTGGAAAAAACAAGTAAAGGAAGAGTTTTTGGACGACAAACTGGATTCTTTCGATCTAAATTTCTTTAATAAATTATAGTTTCCTACAGTTTTATCATATATATATTATATATTATAAATATATTATATATATATATATATATATATATATATATATATACAGGGTGACCCATTTTAACTTAGGCAGCCAAATAACTCGAAAAATAAGCACACTACGAAAAAATGGTTAGAATCAAAATTTCGTCATTTCGAGGGGGACGTACAATGACGTTAAAATCAGCCCCCCACCCCTCCCCCTGGGCGGTGAGGGGGGGGCAAGTTTGAAATCTTAAATGGAACCCCCTATTTTTCATTGCATATTCTTGTAGCTTATCTCGAGAGCTTTCCAAAACACTATAATTAAGTACCTTTTTATTAAGTACTTCTTGAGTTATAAGGCTTAAAATAATTTCTTAATTTTACATAAACTATCTATTTTACATAAAATATCTAGTAAACCATTCATTTTTCGATTATCTTACCTTGATACTTTTATGTACAAAATAATGAGAGGAATCAATTGGTGTAAAGAAAACATACAGTTGTTTTTAAGAAAAAATATGGAATTGTTAATTGCAAATTACATATTTTTGCCCAGGGGGAGGGGTGGGGGGGCTGATTTTAACGTCATTGTACGTCCCCCTCGAAATGACGAAATTTTGATTCTAACCATTTTTTCGTAATGTGCTTATTTTTCGAATTATTTGGCTGTCTAAGTTAAAATGGGTCACCCTGTATATATATATATATATATTAATATATAAAAAATTAAATTTATGTTAATGTTAATATTTATAATATTATATACATAAAACTGTAGAAAACTAAGGATACACAAATGAAGGAGATTGCGTAGACAAAAATTACAGCCTGAGATTAGATTAATTTACATTGTACAAAATATAGCAACTCCATTAATTTTTGTTTTAATTCACTTTTTTGTGGTTCTTTTGTCACTTGAAGCTCCGCCGTGACGAGCTTCTCAATGAGAATGGATCGTTGTCGTCCATTGGTTTTTTTCGAGAACACACTTCAGTTGCCATTATACTTACAAGGGGAGGTCGCGGTTAACTCATCACCGATTTTGATTTCCTTTGGTGTGGTGAATCTACGTCGAAAAAAAGTTGATCCGTGTTCGAGCTTTTCGTCCAATGCGCCTTGTAAAAAAAATTTTTTTTTTCTCGAAGTGTAGAGAATTTGCCAGGTTCGTTATCAGGCTTAAAGAAATACACTTTTTCGATCAGTGCTGCTAGTCCAGCGCAGAGTGCAAGACTAGTAATCCCGGGGTCGAGTATCGCAGGCGAAAATTAGCTAACACTAAAAAACAGTAAAAACAGTAAAAAAACCATCAAAACTACGTAATTTTTACAATAAAATAACAGAGTTGTCTCCCACAACGGAAAAGTTATCAAAAAAGTCAAGTGGTGAAGAAAATAACACCGCTAAGGAGTACAATACGAGACATGAAAGTGACATAACCGCGTCGCTAAATAAGACAATAATAAAAAGCCAGCTGCATACAATAAAATACAATACATCGATTACAGACAGTGCCCCTCTAAGGAAACTGAGGCAACAATTAATAAAGAAACAGAGAAGCAGGGAGCTGCACCCAAATATTGCCTTAGTCAACATGAAAAAAAAAAGCTATCACACAATGGACTTAAACAAAGAAAGCAGACAGCCCATAAATAGCTCTACAACGACAAATAATATACCTGTAAGTAAGAGCGCACAAGCACAAATTGATCCACAAAGCGAAAATACGATAATTTACAATGTACAAACAAGGAACAAATATACACCGCTCAATGAACCTATCGATTCAATTATGGAAACAGACACTGATGCTAATGAAAATAATAATTTCATAGAGGATTTGAAAAATCGGAACAAAAGCACTCAACCGACTATCGAAGCCCCCAGTACCAAGGATAAAACCTACCAAAATATCATACAACATGAAGGAATGGACGTCCAACCAGGGCCCTCTAATAAAAAAACACACAGAGATGACGACAAGGAAAGGACCAAAGAAAAGGACAAAAAGAAAGAAGAAAAACCACCTCCGCTCAACATTATTTATCAAAATCCAAAGGATACAGAAAGGCTCATCTCCAGTCAAATAAAACAGGCAAATTTCATAATTAAACGTATAAATAACAATAAGCACACATTACAGATGTTCTCGCTAATAGATTACTATAAAGCCAAAAAATTATTAGAATCTGTAAACACATGTTTTTACACTTTCACACCAAAAAAAGACAAAGTTATTTCAATACTTTTAAAAGGACTACATCACTCGTATGATTCACAAGAAATTCTAAATGAGCTAAAATCATTAAAGATAGAAGACGTAGGCTTTCACAAAGTCACACCTTTCAAGACAAAAAGATCGGTTAGCGAGAACATCCAATTACCGATATTTCTGGTTCAGTTGGAAGCAGGAAGCAAAATTCATAATCTTATCAAAATAAATAGACTCTGCCACCATATAATAACGTGGGATAAATTAAAAAACAAAAACATTATTCAATGCAAAAGGTGTCAACGACTAGGGCACGTAGCATCCAACTGCAACCTCAAATATAGGTGCGTAAAATGCAAAGATTCGCATGTCCCAGGAGAATGTAAGTTATCTCCAAATAGTATACAGGATAAGAATCAATTATATTGCGCAAACTGCCAAAGTTACGGCCATCCAGCATCCTATCGCGGTTGCCCAATACTCCTTAATCTGAAAAAAAGGCACAAGAAAAAAAAATAGAAATACAAGAGAAAAGAGAAAGAAAGATAATAAATCTAAACAATTATGTAAAAAAAAATATCAAGTTTGCAGATGTAGTAAAGAATAATAACACAACATCCTCACCTGCAGAAAATACATCTCTAAATGCACCATTAGCGTCTAGTATCAATGATATCATAAACATGTTTAAAACTCAAGTAATGACACTTCTACAAAAGCAACAGGAACAAATAAATAATCTTACACAACTAGTTGAGAAAGCTGAAAAAAAAACAGATTATGTATTAAATATAATCGACTCCTTATATCAAAATAATGACTAGCTTTAAACAAAATAAAAAACTATCAAAACTTAAATTACTAGTAATTAATGTAAACTCAATAGTAACAAACCAAAAGAGATCTTCGATAACAAACATACTAAAGATGCAAAATCCAGACATAGCTCTACTCACTGAAACAAAATTAAAACAAAATCACGTAGTAAACTTTAAAAATTACAATATAATAAGGAATGATAGAATAGATAAACAAGGAGGAGGAACAGCAATAATAATAAAAAAAAATATAGACCAAACGAGAGTACACATATGCTCACCTCATTCAAAACCCTTTTTAGAAAACACTATCATAAAAATTAAACTCAAAACTAATACATACCTATTCCTAATCGCAGCTTACGCGCCCTGCGGTAATCAAAAAGAATTTATCCCAGAGCTCAATAACTTATTCGGGCAACTCCAACTAGAAAAAGAAAAAAATTACTATATTATCGCAGGAGACCTAAACGCTAAACACACAAATTGGTTAAATAAAGATAATAACCCTAGAGGAGTGTCACTGAATAAATGGTTAACGAACAACGAATTCCAATATCGAAGCAAACTGTATTGTACGCAATTTCCCTCATATCCTCTAGGAGAAAACACATCTCGATATCATAATAGCAGACGTACGAATAGATTTTAATAACACAGTAGATTCCTTCAAATTACCAAGCGTCCCGTATGATAGCGATCACAACGCGATTCTTGCATATGTCTCTTTCTCAGAAGACACACAAATCCCGTTCACAAGTAACACTGAAACACAAAAATATAATTATAGAATAACAGACTGGGAAAAATTTGACAACACATTAAAACAGGATTTTAAACTTGACATCCCCAATGACAAAAACTTAACTATACAAGAAATAACAGAATATTTAAAACAAATAGATAATACAATTAACGAAGGAATGAAAAAAGTTATTCCAAAAATAAAATCTAAAGACGGAGTAGAGACCTACTTAAACTCAAATATCATAAACCTACAAAAATTTAAAAGCCATATACTAACACAACTACATAAAAAACAGAGAGAATGGCCAAATGTAAATGAAAACGCGATTAGAATAGTAAAAAATCTGTTGAGGGATGTCAAAAGTAGACTGAAAGTAGAGTTCGCGAGCTCGGTAAATAAATACTGGGAAGAAAAAATTAGAAATATCCCTGTTAATAACTCCGCATCAATGTTTCCGCAAATAAACTCAATTTTCCGGAAAAAAAATATAGCAGAAATATCACAGATAAAATCTCTTACGAGATAAAATCTCTTACGAGAGTAAGCATATTTTAGACAAATATAATATAAATACCGAAAATATAGCTATAAATAAAAAAAATGAAACTATAGTTAGCAACATTGAAGATAAACTCAATGTAATTGGTGCTTTTTTCGCAAACATAAATAACGAAAGCAGGACAAATAATACTAGATTCGAAGAGATAATAGAAAAAAAAGCGCGCGAATTAGTCAACATAGCAGAAACAAAGCGTAAAAATAACGAAATAATATGCACCTTCAACGAAAATAATACTTCTGACAACCCAACAACAGAAGAGGGACCGAAAAACTACTTTATTAATGTTCATTCTCTAGGTAAAAAATTCAGACATTTGAATAACAAAAAATCATCAGGTATAGATGGAATACCAAATATAGTACTCAAACACTTACCTCCAGAGGTGATACGAGCCTACGCGATCCTCTTTAACAATTTATTAAACAATAGATATTTTCCACCGCACTGGAAAAAGGCCTTAGTAGTACCGATCCTAAAAAAAAATAAAGAAGACACAAATCCAATAAATTACAGACCAATAAGTCTACTTCCGAATATAAGTAAAATATATGAAATGATAATAAACGACGCGATATTAGTGGAATGCTCGGAAAAAAACATATTACCCGAAAATCAATTCGGATTCAGATCCAAACACTCCACTTTACACGCTATTAATAAACTTACCTCAGACATTTGTTGGGCCATGAATGACAAAAAGTGCGTAGGCGCCTGCCTCATAGATCTAGAAAAAGCATTTGATTCGGTCTGGCTATCAGGCCTCATTGTAAAGCTTAGTCAAAATAAATTCTCTGAACACATGATAGAATTAATCTGGAGCATGATAAGCGAAAGATCTTTCGTAACCAACATAGGTAGACTCACTTCTTCAAATAACTTCGTCATAACAAATGGATTACAGCAGGGCACAGTGAACTCTCCCATTCTTTTCAATATATATACATGTCACGTGTTGAAATTCTGTAACGCAAATTCGGCTTGTCCCATAAAATCCATTGCATTCGCAGATGACTTAATAATTTATAGCGAGGATGCATGGCCCTCACGAATACAACACAGGCTTCAGGATGGATTTGAAAGAGTCAATGCATATTATAAATCATGGAAGCTAAAAATAAATATAAATAAATGTGAAACTATTCTATTTAGACAGAATTTAGAGTATGCGAACAAAAATGTAAGAAAGAATTATAAAACATTCTCTATAAAAGAAGGAAATGAGGTCATACCACACAGGAATTGTGTAAGATATCTAGGAGTTTATTTAGACGAAAAGCTAAAGTTTAATCAACACATAGAAACGCAATTAACAAAAGCAAAAAAAGCCTTCTTTCAACAAAAAAGACTCTTTTACTCAAAAATGTTAAATACAAAAATAAAAATAATATGTTACTTACTTCTAATCAGACCCATCATTACATATGGATGTCCTGTGTGGTATAACGTCAGTGCCTCACAATTGGAAAAAATCAGACATTTCGAACGTAAATGCTTAAGAGTTTGCCTGAGAATGTTCGCAAATCCAGAACACGATTACTGCAAACATTACAGCAACAAAAAGATATATGATACAGCAAATATCCCAAGAATAGATAATTTTATAATAAAACTCACACGAGATCATTTTGCAAATGCAAGCCGCATCACACACAATAGCTTAATCTTTAGCGCATTATATCCACATCCAGAGTATCACGCAAAAACATTAGCTTCTGGCTTCATTCCTCCTGAAGCCTTTCCATATTTAGACGCAAATGGATATATACAAGATGTAAATGGTATCCCAACCATTTATCACATTCCTAGACATAAAAACATAAAAAACATAAAATATCCAGCAAACGTAAACTGCTTAAGAGACAAAATTGACTTAAGGTACTGTATGGATCTTCCAGAAAGAGACATACAGGACAAACACCGTGAAAACCCCAAATACTGGTGGTTTGAAAGTGACAAGTAGCCTTCCTTCCCTTACTTCTTTCTTTCTCTTTTCCATGATTAATGTAAAAATAAGGATAAATCCACTAAAACAAACAAATATATACATACACACAAACAAGCAAATAAATATATATATAAATATGTACATGTTACATTAATGATAATATACCAAAGCGCAGACTACTAGTCTTATAATATTAGTAATGTATATAATGTATATAAATATAGTATATAGTAATGTATATAAATCTAGATTAAGAAGATTTTCAAGTTATAACAAGACTTACCTTTGAGATTAGTAAGCTTACAAGCTTTAACAATAAGATATATTATGTACATATTATAACCTCTAGTATAACTATAAAACCGATAGTGCTTAAGTATATAAACATATTGCGGATAGAATCATGTCTATTTAGACCGAAAATTTACGTTGTTTTGTTTTATTTTTAACTATTTTATTTTATACCATGTTATAATAGCGTAAAACAGATCTCCGGAGTTTTTTTCCTGTGCCTTTTTCTCTGGATATATATTACATAATACCGACCTGTAAAGATCCGCCTGCGAATCATCTCGATAATAAAAATAATCACTTTACCGATCATAGAATAAGCAGAAATAAATACTATAAAGTCCTGAGAGATTCTCCCAGGAGACCACAGTGACATTCAAAAGGAAAAATGTAAAAACTAGTTTATTGGTTTCTAAAAAATTTTTGTAACTAAATTTGCACTCAATAAACAACTTATACTACTACTACTACTACTAGTAATCCCGGGATCCGAGGTTCGAGACTTGGGCTGTCATAATTTTTTTTAAATTTTATTTATATATATGTATATAATACACATGTATTATTTATTATGTTAAATTAAATAAATATTTGGGATACTAATAATGTTAGAATACACACTTTTCATGTTTCACATCTTTACAAAATCAGTTTTTCTACCTGCTGTGTACCACTAGATGCTACCGCCGTTAAAATATCATTACAGAAAACGTTACGCGGGGGAGAGAAGAAGAATCGTGTGATCCTGTCAAAGATTCTAGAAGGTCGATTAGAAAATATCTTACTTATATATTTATAATATATTTATTACATATTACATATTTATGCAGAAAATAATGAGTAATAAATTAAATAAATAATAAATTAATAATAAATAAATAATAAATAAATAATAAATTAAATAGATAAAGAAATAATTACATAATAGATACATAAAGAATTAAATAGATACATAAAAAAATAATTAGTTAAAAAAATAAAAAAAAATAAATACATTTTTTATATACAATACAAGCATCCAGCGGTTCACAGCAGGTAGAAAAACCGATTTTGTAAAGATGTGAAACATGAAAAGTGTGTATTCTAACATTATTAGTATGCCGAATATTTATTTAACATATATTTAACATAATAAATAATACATGTGTGTTATATACACATATATAAATAAAATAATAAAAAAAAAATTATGACAGCCCAAAGTCTCGAACCTGGGATCCCGGGATTACTAGTCCTACGCTCTGCCGCTGGATTATCGGCACCGATCGAAAAAGTGTCTTTCTTTAGGCCTGATAACGAACCTGGCAATTTCTCTACACTTCGAGAAAAAAAAATTTTTTTTACAAGGCGCATTGGACGAAAAGCTCGAACACGGATCAACTTTTTTTTGACGTAGATTCACCACACCAAAGGAGATCAAAATCGGTGATGAGTCAACCGCGACCTCCCTTTGTTAGTGTATTATTCATCTGATGGAATGCTGTCTTCACCGGGTCAATCTTTCGTTTCTTAAAAGTCCTCTGCTGAGTCCTCAAGAAGCAGAATGATGGACTGACTATATTTGATTCTTCTGTCTCCGAAACAGATAGGCACGAGGCTGAAGAAAATGTCGATGGCTGCAAAGGAATTTTGAAATCCAAGTTTTTTTTAGAATCAACTCATTAAATATAATTTAAAAATATGATTTAAAATTATTCACTTGTGAATTTTCTTCAATTGTTGCAAGTAGCGTACGTGACGAGGACGACCGTGACTGGAAAATTAAAAACATCAAATTTATGTAAATATTATATATTTTTCATTATTGTTTCAAAATTACACTCAAATGATGATCCAATTTCGAATAAAAAATAGGCTGATTTTCATTAACTATCTTTGATAATGTGTTGCATATTTCTTTTTGTACATGTAGTGTCTTGTCAAATGTTGAAGTTGATGTCTTTGCTGTAATATGAATAAAATGAGTTTTTAAAATATACTTCTCAATTAAAATAACATTGGTAAGAAAAAAAAGTTACCGTACATTAGAATTGTCATTGATGGAGATTTCATGATTTAATGGAAAAGTTATTGAACGTTGAGTTCAATGATGTTCCACTGATATTGCACGATCCAGATGACTTTGTAATCCACCCATTGACATTAGAAAGCTTCTAAAATGATAAATCGTTGTTGAATATGTTGAAATGTTCGAATTTATTAACAAGTACCATTTGAAATAAATTAATAAATTAAACAACCTTCTTTGGGGTATATGTCTTCCCAAAAAGGCGAGGCTGTCAAATACATGCAAGGGAATGGGGCTCATATGCAGTGTTTTGTAAACGTTTCGACATCAGCTACAAGAATCTGTAACAAAAACTGACGAGTTCCATTTGAAATTTTTTACGTTATTTGTATGCAGCTCGTAAGGGTCATTTCAAGGTCATGCCGTCTATGCCACATAATACATCTTTTCATACCATAAAAATTATGTCTAAGACATTTTGTCGAAAAATGAATAGTTTCGGAAATAATTGTTTGCTTCCATACTTTTTCCCCACCCTGTATATTTCTAAAGAATAACAAAAGGTCATATAATAGTCAAAATGAGAGAAAAAAATGTAAGCTATATATAAAGTGCCCGTGCGCAGCAAAGATAAACAGACCACAAAAACTTGTAATGCGTTTGCGCGAGTTTTCCCGCTATTTTGCATCATCTGCCACGTTGGTCGCATCTTATGTGGTCTTTTGTCCGTCGTATTTATTCGTAAATTTTACTCGATATGTTCAGAATTTTATGCAAAAAAAAGTAATTATATAACTTATTGCGATTCCTAATATCATTGTATATGTGCGCATATTGTAAAATTCTAATATGACTGATAAACCTGTAAGTATAATAAACTTTTTGTGAAAATATTGCACGTGTAGTAGATTGCATGTGCGCTTTTTCTAAAAAAATAGTACTTTATTTGCTTTTAATATTTTTACGCTTCGCATTCAAGTATTCATATTTTATATAAATATAACATATAATTCATTTAATGCAATCCTTTATTAGAGTTAATGCATTTTGATATTCTAACCTTGCTTTTGACATCAGAAACGAGAAATCATATTATAATTTATTTTCTCTCCTGATTTTTTCATATTTTATTTATCATCAGAGGAAAGTCTTCTTTTAAGACCAGATAACTTTCGAGCGCTTCCTCTAAACACAATTGACGAATATGACAAATTTGAAGAGTTTTTAAATAATGGTACAAGTTTCTCAACAGTAGTATGTTTAAAATAAATAAGATTTATTTATATGATTTTGTTCTTTGTACTCATTGTCAAATAAATGTAATTTAGGTACAATATTTTGCGGGTCGCACACTCAGTCAAGGTAATGACTGGCAAAGTGCTGTATATTTGATATCAAAATTACTAATAAGTAATAAATTGGCAAGAGCAATAAGCTGAGGAGGTACTAACGACACTAAGATCGCATTAGTAAATAGTAAAATTATGGAGGCTGTTTACTGTAAGTATACTTTTATAGAAATCATAGTTTTTTTATTAAAATTAATAGATAAGAAATAAATAATAAATGAAAATTGCAGGCGCTGTTCTGAAAAACCATCCAAAAGTGACCTAAAAACAGTAAAGTCAAAAATACAAAGATGCTTTACACAGGAAATCAAAGAAAACTTTAATTACTTTAAAACATTTTTTAGTCATGAAAAAATTAGTTGCTTTTGTGATATTTATTATTAATGAGTTTTTTATTTTTATATTATGAAATCACGACTGAAAATTTTTAATCACAATGTGCATTAATAGAACGTATAAGTACATTTAATTTTTGTTCATGATTTGAATATCTAATTAAATAAAGGAAAATTAATCAATTAATACAGTGGTTTTAAAGATAAAATCTAAATGAAATATAATTGATATAATTTAGGCAAAAAGAAAACCACAAATTATGGATGTAATATGCAAAAAAGGCACAAATTGTTAGAATTATTAAAATAAATTATCAGTTACAAATGTACGCGTAAACGTTTCGATCTATTCCAGATCCTTCTCAATGCTAACATAATAGAAATTACAAAGGATATAAATACAAGTGTAAAAGGTCGCTCGAAAATAATAACGTTCGCAGAATTTGAATCTAAATACAAAGACAAAATTCGAATTAATGAAAAAAGTCGGCGCAAATAAAATATTCGTCAGTGTAACCGAAATTACAATAATAAAATCGGAATACATAGTAGAGAAAATTAAATTTGTAACGTTCGGATGGAAAGATATAGATGTGGATATGTCCACATGTCGGCATGTTACTCACCAGGTATATACACAGAGATCGCAACTGTGTAGAAAAGAAAGCGTTGAAAAACGATGCGAGTAAAGGACAGAGATACCGCAAGCTATCCACACTTTGTATAATGTCAAAAAGATTCTTAATTTTGCAAATTAATAAATCCAAAGCCAAATAAACCTGGATCTGAAAAATAAAATTGAGCAGAGCAACATGCGTTCATGCAATACATATCACATTAAAAAGAAAAAAGAAAAAATAAAAGAGAAGAGAAAAATTAATGTGAGAAAGCGATAATTGAGGCAAATTAATAACGCAGCTTATTA